TCTTTTAAGATGTCTTCTACAGAAAACTGAGCTCATCTATTACGTGATTTTATTAAGCCAACTCTGAGTTCTACTGATGGCACCTACATTATACCACATACACCCACTCAACCTCACCTGTCACCTTCTAATCACTTTCTCTTCCTTAACCCTTAACTTGAATGTCATTCCCCACTATATTCAGTGACCTCTTTTCTTCAGTTCTCTTTCTGCTGGATTTCACGACTGCAATTGATACAGTATGCCTTCCATTTCTTAAAAACTTTCCTAATCAGTGGCTTTAATAGAACCAAGTTCTGTTGGTTCTGCTCATTAATTTTAACTTGCTCTATAATACCTATGACGGTTAAGACTTCAGGTCTAGAATCAAACAGATCCAAATCCAGGCTCTACTCCTTACTTGCTATGTGCCCACAAAAAAGTTACTTCTCTAAGATTTGTCCTTTAACTGTGAAATGGACATAATGGCATAATTGGCTATTAAGTGCTCAGCATAATAGGCTTACTCTGGCACAAAGTAATCACTCAATAAATGTTAACTATTATCTCTGTGTCCTAATTCTCAGCTTCTAGCACTCTATTCTTTCTTCCTTGAAGAATTCACTGTCTCAAATAGCTTTGAATAATACTACAATTAAGTATATTCCTGTAGTCACTGTTGCAAGACTAAATCTTTCACCATCTTCTTCAGTAATAAAGAAAATTACTATTTGTGTATTTTACCAATATTTAATAATTAATCTTCTGAAAACCGGTTTCATTTTTGCACTCATTCTTAAAACACTAATTTGCCTTGGATTCTGCAATACCATACTTTCCATATTTTTCTTCTCTTGCCATCTCTTCTTAGACTCCTCTGCCAGCTTATCCTCCTGTACCCAGACTCTGGTGTCCTAATGGGAAAGTCTAAGGGTTTTCTGCATTTCTCATGCTACAGTCTCTCCCATCATGGCTACAACTGCAATCTATAAATAAGTAAATGACTTCCATATTATTTATATCTCTAGCCCAACCCTTTCTCGAAATTTTAGATCCCCATATCTAACTGCCTACTGACGTCACCATGTGATAACAAAGGCAGCTTAAACACAATAGATCCAAAACTGGATTCATAATCTTCCTCCCAATCCTAGTTCTCCAGTATTTTGTTGCTAATGAATGGCACCGCCATCTATCCAAGCTGCATAATACAGAATTCTAGAAGTTATCCTTAATAACCTTCATCTTCCTCCGCCTTCATATCTAATCAAGCCTACAGATAATTCAACTCAAATATATCTTTTAAAGACACCCACTTATCTCTATCCCCACAAATCTAATTTTTCCTTCCTCTTAGATATTCTATCTACTCTAGCCACAAAAATCTACTTTACAATACCTGTATATGACTTATTCTTTCCCATCCCTCTTCTCTAGCCAAGCCATGTGTTTTATTCTCTCTCAAAACTCCTCTTGAAAACCTTCACTCTAATTCAAGCCAGCATCACTCCTTACTGGGGAAAAATAAAAGTTACAGATTCAGGGTCATGGTTTATTCAGCCCAATCATCTATCTTTGACAGTGATACCAGAACATATTATGGTTTTTCTCCCAGATGTCATCCTCAAAAATCTGTCACTACTCAAATATACTATTTCCTTTAATAATGCATCAAGCACTACATCTGTAAATATATACATGCTTTATATGCCTTTTGCTAATATATACATATTTTTTCAGCTTTTTCTTCAAGTACCAAGGTAATCCTCTCATTTTAGCATTCCTAGATTTAATGAGCAAACTGATAGTTTTCTCACCTATATTATTTGTGATTTTAAAGGAAGTACAAAAATAAATACATCATGCATCAAGCCCTTAGACTCTGCTTAAAGGGCATGATCGAGCTGTATTCATATTTATATTCCCAGTTTCCATAATAATGTGTCATAAAGAGAAGGTAGTCAATACATGTTCAACAGAATGAAAGGAATTCTGCTCAGGACTGATACTGTAAACTTCATGAATGCCAGAAAAGAAAGCAAACTTCTCAAATATTTTAACTCTGCTTCTTTTGAAGAAAAATTATATTTGGGCTTAAAAGGTAGAAAGCATTGATGCCCAGTATAGGTGAGGAGACTGTAACAGAGCACCTTGCTGCCTTAAATGAAGTCAAACTCTACGTGAATGGGATCACTGAATTGCTGCCAGTGGAGGAAGTGTAGAGAACCAGAAGGTTGCCAAGGACTGGAAAAGAGCAAATAAACATAGTTCTGATTTTTTAAGAAACAGAAATAACTGCCAACAACAGTCCAGCATACTTGACGTCAAACCTTTTCTAAATTCAGGTTATTTATTTAAAATCAGCTTCTAACCACTTAGAAAAGAAAATGGTAAGCATTTGTGGAACCAACCTGAGTTATATCAGATTAATATCATTTCCTGTCTTTTTTAAAATAGAATATGTGTACAGATAAGTCATAGATCAAAAAGAAGCAGTAAAAATAGTATGTCGATAGGATTTCAACAAGGTATTTGACCAGGTTCTCATTATACCCAAATATAAGATAAATATAAGATGAATAATAATACTACAATTAGGTGGCTAGGTAATTGAACAACCTTAACTAACAAGTGCTCATTAATAAACTGCTATCCATCTGAAGGGCAGTTCTACCAGCAAGGTTCAGAACCCTGTCTGTGGTCTTCTCCTGTTCAGCAATTTTATCAACAACTGGAATGAAGATGTACTGTACTACTACTGTTGGCATCTATTATGTGGATGACATGAACCTAGGGAAAATAGCTTATATAGATTATGAAAGAGCCAGGATCTAAAAACACAATAAGGCATAAGAATGGGCTAATTCTAATAAAATGAAATTTAATCTAAAAGATCAATTGGCACTTTGTGTCCAAAAATATACATGTGACTTTGGGATGGGCAAGCTGTGGCTTAATTGCCATATATGTTAAAAAAAACAAACAAACAAAAAACATCTCAATGGCTTTCATGGACAGCAAGCTCAGTATGATCTAAGGTAGATATCAGAAAAGCTAATGTGATGCTAGCTGCAGCAATACTAGTATCTCAAAGACAGGAGGTAGCAGTCTTGTTCAACTTTAGACTGATCAGACCACAGCTGGGATACTGTGTGGCTTTCTAGGGGTCACAGTCTTCAAAGGATCATAACCACACTGGCATATAGTCAGAACGGAACCACCAGGATGCTTAGGAGCCTGGATACTGGTTCACAAAAGGAAAGGCAGAAGGCAGTGGAGATTTATAAATATAAGATAAAACATTGCCTTAAGAGGAAAATGACAGATATTTTCATTCAGTCATTCGATGAACATTAATATCAAACCTATTTCAAAAGACACTGTGAGAATGGACAGGGAAACAAAGAGAAGATAGCCCATGTCTGCAAGAAATTCATATGTATATTCAGATATGTATATATGTAGAGTTGAAACAGCCATGATCTAAAAAAGAATTAGATTGTTCTATATGATTTCATAAGGCAGAAATAGGACCAGTGGAAGAAGTTAGAAAGTAACTGATTTCAGCTCCATATAAGGAAGAGTATTTTAAGAGTCAAGGCTAATGAAGAAAGAAGCTGTCTGAAAAGACTGCAAGGTTCCCATCAGTAATGGTGTACTTAGAGGGGATACTGTAGGAATAAGGCAGGCACTAACCTGGACCATCTTTAATGTTGATTCTAGACACCCCCAGGAAATGGACTCTCATCGGATTCATCCTACTCGTGCACTTCAGCATCCCAGGTTCCCTACAGTTGCTACTTCCAACTCTGTACCCTGTCCCCCACTGAAGCAATGCTTTATAATTGGGAACAGATCTGAGCACAATAGGAATAATGAGAAATAGGAAGAAAGTGAATCATCAGCAGATAGGAACACAAAAAATCAATACTGTTCCATGTGCCTTGAATTTGTAAAGAAAATGGAAGGACTCTCTATCCTTTAATTCATAAATTTGATAAAAATATTCATTTACGTTCAATTAACGTAAATAAGGATTTGCTATGCACTGCCATCCCTGGTTGTGGGCCATTTTTTTCTAACCAACAAAGAAAAAATAGTTTTAACTTAAGATCATTTCGAAAATTTGTGTCCTAAATAAGCACTCCAAAACCCTCATTATAAAGTTGTGAGTAAAATAACTTTAGAATACATTTCTTAAAAGGAATGATTCATTGGATACAGTAGACCAAATACCACAAAATAATCAAATTGTGGAAGTGTAATTAAATGGCTACTTAAGTTTAATCTATTTAAAAATCACAGGCAGGATAACAGAGAAAAGGCCTAGACCATTTAGTTCTGGCTTTTATAAATTGGTTTAAGATTATTAAGCCTACTTTCACTCGTTTTATTTTGTAATTTCAAAACAATCTCACATAGGGGCTCTAAATGCTGCATCTGGGTATTAAAGGAGTTCGCCCTTTCAAACTCTTAATATTAACTTCTTGGAAGCAATCTCTCACACTTCAGAGCTTTCCCAATTGTATCCAACAAATGGGGCACAATTCGATTTCCAAGGGCTCTTTCTTTCAAACAGCAGCCCAGAAAGGCAAAAGTGAGAAAGGAAAAGAGGAGCATCTTTAACCACAAGCCCTGAAAAAAGGCTTCCCCCGCCGGTTGTCATCAACTCTGTGGACTCTCTACCATTTCTTAACACATGCCTGGATGTTTTGTTCAAAAAAGAAAAAGAAAAAAAAATAGATTCCAGCTTTCCTGGGACGGGAAGCTCCCCTTCTGTAGAAGTGGCTAAAGCTAGGCTCCCCGCGGGATTTCATCTCGTTGCCAAGGCAGCGCCAACTCCAGTCGTCCGGCGCGAGGGCAGTTCTGGCGGGCCCGGAGCCCAGGGCGGCCCCAGCCTGCGGACAGCAGCCCGGCCGAGCCCGGAGCCCCACGGCCACAGAGTCGGGGCCGCGACCCCGGACGGCCCCGCGGGCGCCCCAGGACCGCGGCGGAAGGCGGGGAGACGCGTCTCTACTTACAGTGACACCATCCTAGGTGACAGCACCAGTGCAGCTTGAAGCACTTGCCATGGCTGTGCGTGGCACAGATGGAGAGCCCGTCGCACGGCTGGAAATCGGGTCTGCGGGCAGCGCAACTCCGCGCCAGGGCCTGAGCCTCGTCGAGTTTCTCGCTCTTCCAACCCCGCTCGGGCGCCGCCGCCACCGAACTCATTTCCTCTCCCTCCGCGCGGAGCCGAGACCAGGAGCCCGGGAGGAGCGGCGTCTGGGCGGGCAGGAAGCCGAGCCGGCTGCAGACGCGGGAGGGCGCGGCGCGGGCCGGGAGTCACGCCAGCGCGCGGCGGCGGCGGGAGCGCGGCGGTCCCAGGCTCTAGGAGGAGCCGCCCCGGGCGCTGCGACCGGGGCTGGGCCTGCCACCGCCTCCCTCCGTCCGCCGCGGCGCGCGCCGCGCCCCACGCGCACACGCACGCGCACACGCGCGCGCCAGCCGGCCCCGGCCGACGTCCCCCGGCTAGCAGGGCCTCCTCACACACGCCCTGCCTGGGAGCGCGGTCGTCGGCGTCCCCTCCCGTCGCGGCGGGTTCCTCCCACAGGCCCACTCATTCCTCAGAGGCAGACCCGGACGGAGGGCCGTTGTGAACACACGCGCCTCGGCCGCTCGGTGTTCGCACGACACCGGCTTACACACACACTTCCCACACACGCTCCCCTCCGAGCGAGGTCGTCTCGAGAGCTGCCACACGCTCCAGGGACGGCTGTGCACCCGGGTGCACGCCCACCGAACCTCTCAGTGGGCTGGCCCGGGCGCACCTCTGGGCGACGTTTCCTCACAGCCTGTCCTGCACCGCCTCTCACGTTTCCCTCGTACACACCTCCCGGAGCGGCCGGGCACAGGGACCCCTGGTAGGCGGCACACGCCCACACGCGCGCGCGCAATCCCAGGGCTGCCTCCCGCCCGGGACCCTGTCACGTGCCGCGCCCCAGCCCCGCGCCGCCGCCGGCCGCAGCACCCGCCGCCCCAACCTTGGCGCGGGCTGCAGTTCTCCTCCTCCCCCACTCCCTCCCCCCACCCCCAGTTGCGCGGGGAAAGCAGCCAAGCAGAGTGCGGAGAGGGGGGGGGGTGTGTATTTTGGGGTGTACGTGATGTGTGTGTTGTGTGAGTGTTTATAATTATTTGGGATATGTGTGTTGGGTACGTGTGTGTAGTGGGCTGTGTTAGGTGCAAACATAAAGGGGGTGTGGTTGAGTGATGCATATGACAGGTAAGGGGTGTGTGGCGTGGAAGTATATGCAGTGTGGATGGTGTGTGTGGCATATGTGTACGTGATGTGGGGGTGGGTATGAATAGTCATATGAGTGTGTCTATGGTGTACGTTTGGTGTGTGTAACTGGCATGTTGAGTGTGTGCATGGTGTATATGGGTGGAATCGAGTGTGTGTGGTACATGTGGGTGTGTGTACACACAAACCACTCGTGTTTGCTGAGGACTCTGCCTTTGCATGTTAATGCCCGCTCTGGCCAGCGGTGTGACTGACCCTGATGGTGGCCGTGGCTTCCCCACACAGTTGGCTGGCATTCTTCCCTCCTGGGGACAAGTTGCTCCAAATAGATTTTCCATGCCAGACTCTGCTACTAAGAACCGACCCCAGGCTGAGTTCAGTGAAGAGAAAACAAACCATTTACTCCCAGGGAGCACTGCTGGGAATTAGTGTTTCCCTGCAACAAGGCCAGAACTCAACCTTCAACAGAGAAAAGGAGGGGACGCTCTCTCCTTATTTGCCAAACGTTTTTCAGAGCACAGGAAAATGCCTGTAATTACCAAGGTTCAGGAAACAACAAGCCTTTCAGCACAAATACTGTGTGGGGACGTTTTTATGCCCAGGTCCACTTTCTCCTTTACTTTATTCCTTTCCTGTTTTGCACCAACAAGAGACTCATTTTGAAATAACCAAATTCATCCTCAAGCACTGAAAATCCTTGCTGCCATAAGCAATCTTTCATAATTTTCCCTTTTATTTAACCTTGGCTTGAGAAAGGAAATGTAATTTGCATATATCTTACTCTAGCGAAATCTTCATTTAGTAGGGGTTGAGGAGAGACTCAATATGGCAGCAAAGGTATTTTTAAGAAAGGTCTGAATCAAAATCACAAAACATGGTTCTCCCATTAACCTAACATTGAAACAGCTGTAAACATAAAGCATATCTCATTAACTTCCTCCCCAACTGCCCCCCAAAAAAATCCTAAAGAAATACAGCCCTGACATAAAATCTATGCATTCTTGCTGTTAATTTCACAGTCTGACCCATCTCAGAATAGCATGAGTAAAAGGTAGAGAAAACTTAATCAAAGAAATCCATACTCCATTACTACTGCAGCAAGCCAACCAAGAATTTTCAATGGGGAATTTCCAACTGTTCTACCCTATTTTTCTCTTCCCCCAACCTATAAACTCAGTCTAATACTGTCTGTATCATAGAAGGCCTTATAACAGAATCCTCTCAGTATTTCAGCAACTGATACTTGAACAGGATCTTCCCCTGGCTTTTACTATAGAGTGAACCATGTTATAAGATTCCACTATGTATAAAACAGACCATCTGAGCCAGTGAAAAATGAGCATAAGAAAGAATGCAATATAGCTCTTTAGCCAGGAGGGTAAGGTAAATTACCAAAACACCCCATTTTATGTTAGTCACATGATTTGAAGCTAAGAATCCTTTACATTTTTCAATATCATGGAACTCATTTTATCCCCTTGCTCTAAATATATTATTAACTTCTCCTGTCTTGTATGGAGCAGGAGGAGGTAAGTGCTGGGACCTCTCAAACATATATACACAGCTTTCAGGCTGTGCTGTTGGGATATAATTTTTAATAATTTTATTATGAAAATTTCCAACATCTACAAAAGTGGAGAGACTAGTATAATGAACCCCATGTACCCATCATCTGGTTTCAATAATTATTAACTCATTTAAAAAATCTTGTTTCAGGGGGGGAAAGGGGCATTTATTGAAACCTTAAAATCTGTACCCCCATAATATGCCGAAATAAAAAAAAAAAAAAAATGAAGGAAAAAAAAAAAAAAATCTTGTTTCATCTATAGCTCCACCCACTCCAGACCCCTACCCTGCCACTGGATTATTTTGAAGCAAATCTCAGATATCAAATAGTTTCATCCATAGTGTTTTGGTATGTATCTGTAAAGCAACTTTTAAAAAACTATAACCCATAATACCACTATCATGTAATAGTATACAATTTGATCATAAATATGAACTTGCCCCATAGCTGCTCACACCTCCCCTTTAAGAATGTCGCTCCCTCTGCCTGGAATTTTCTCCTTTCCTCCCTTTCTCCCCTGCCTACCTTTTCAGCTTAAGTGTCACTTCCTCTAAGAAGCTTTCTCTGACCGGTCCAGACTAAGTTATATACACTCTCCCTTCATATCACTTGCCCCATTTTTAATGAATAATTAAGGAAGGAATTATTGAATTAATGTCTTTCTCCATCCTCCTCCCTGCCACAAATGCTCCTTGCGGGCAGGAACATGGCCTCTGCCTTATTCTCCACCTTGTTTTCAGTACTTAGCACAGGCAATTCCATTTCAGATTCCAAAATGCTGGAATAAGTTCATCTTTGACAAATTCTTTACAAATATGTATAAATAATTACTTTTCTTGTAACCACACTCTTAGATAGTCCTTTCCCACACTGACTCTGAGCTTAGCTATGTGTATTAGTTATCTATTGCTCTGTACCAAATAATCCCCAAGTTAAAACAAAACACAGTTTCTGTGGGTCAGAATCCCAGCTATGACTTAGCTGGGTCCTCCACTTCAAAGTCTCTCACAATACTGCAATGAAGCTGTGGGCCGGGGCTGCATTCTCATCTAAGGGTTCAGCTGGGGAAGGATCTGCCTCCAATCTCTCTCTCTGACTGGTTGTTGGCAAGATTCAGTTCCTTAAGGAACTGTTGGCCTGAGGGTTCGGTTCCTCGCTGGTGGTTGGGCCTCTTCATGGGCCTCTCCCTAGGACAGTGGACACATGGCAGCTTGCTTTATCAGAGTGAGCTTGTCTTTAAGCAGAGTCAGAGCACCACAATCTTTTATAACCTAATCTTGGGAGTGATATCCCATCAATTTTGTCATATTCTGTTCATTAGAAGCAAGTCTCTAGGTCCAACCCCATGCAAGGGCAGGGGATTATGCAGAGCAGGAAAGCCACAAGGCAGAAATCACTGGGAGCCTTTCGGAAGCTGCTTGCTACAACACATGATTTGCTTTAGCCAATGAGTGAATAGCAAAGATGTATAGTAAAGATTTGCAAAAAGCATGCTTATTGGAATTTGTCCTTTCTTTCTGTGCTTAGAAGCCTGAAATCACCATGTGTATGAGCCTGAGCAAGTCTGCTGGAGGATGAAATACCCTGTGGAGGAGACCGAAGGTGCCCAAGTGGACAAGCAGCCGATCCCCAGACGATGGCCTGTCAACCACTAGGACTAGGAATGAGGCTATAGTAGATCATGCTAGACCCACCAGCTGATCCCAGAAGCAAGAGAGAGCCCAGTGTAGATCTGCTGAGTCAGTCCAGACCAGAGCAGCCACCAGGATGAACCACAGAATCAAGAGCTACATAAAATGGTGGCCGTTTTAAACTGCTAAATTTTAGTTGGTTTCTTACATAGCAAAAGCTAACTGATACATCCACCAATCCTCTCACATTATAGACAAAGTAATTAAGGATTCAAGAGGCTAAGTAACTCATTCAATGTCACAGTACAGCAGACATGGTAGGAAAAAAGACCTGGCGTTAGAACAATGCAAATGGTTCAACTCTAGGCTCTGTTGTTTCCTAGCTGGGAAACCTTGGCAAATCTCATACATTAATACCTTCTGGGCTTTCATTTCTTTATCGACAACAAAAACAAAAACAAAAAAAAAACCCAGAAGGTTCTGCAACAAGTCTCTTAATACTCAAAGCCATGACTTGTCTACTTGGTTAAAGAGCTGAGGTTAGAATCCTTTTGGTTCAGATGTCATTTGCGAATAGTCAGATATCCTCTTCCTATTGTATTGCCCATATTTGCCTAATACTAATACATAGTATGTCTATGCACACCAACTATTCTGAATATTTTGATAAATTGAGTCATTACAATTCAGTTACTTTTTGGTTGCTTGATTGAACCAAGCAACTAATTTCACCATGGTTATAAATAACCTGCTAGTAATTGGTCAATTTGTCATATTAAAGCAATTAGAATGATGAAGTGGATGGAGAAGCTTCCAAATGAGGTGCAACTAAATTAAGAGTCTTATGTGGGGAGGGAGGATGCCTCTTCAGCTTTGCCACTGGCATCATTCAGACCCTCATCATCCCCTCCAGTGTAAAGGAAAGAATAGCAGCTTTGGAATCAGACAGAATGGAATC